GGTTCTCTTTCTGAACTGGAAGAGAAGCAAAGACCGTTCTGGTCCTTGAGCAGGTTGGGGAAATGTTTACAGCTGAAGAAGGCTGCATCCCACCTGGGTAATTTTCCAGTTGGGACTTGTCAGTGGGGGACAGGGCCCAAGGAGCAAGCTGGATAGAACCTAAGTCACCTGCACACCCCATTCACATCTGCCCATCCACACACAACCGTTCCTGATGGACACAACCCACACACCATTCACATTTCTCTATGGTTTCGTACCCATTCAAGTACCTGCATCCATCAACACACAGCAGCTTAAACCTTCCACCAGGGCTTAACCCAGGGCTGGAGAAGTTTTGATGTGGGGATTGAAAAGGGTTGCAATGACCCTCCCTGGAATCTGTCCCTCTTCTTCCAGTTGAACTTCTTCTCATGCTCGGACCTCACTTCGGAAGTGGGCCCAGCCAGGAGGAAATCCATGGACAGCCGTGGAACTCTGGTTGCAGATGCATGGAAGTCAGATGCAAGTCAGATGCAAGTCAGATGCATTCGCTCTGGGCGGCTTACAGAGAGTGAACCAAAAAAACCAGAACCCATAACAACAACAACACATATCTTGAATGAATGAATGAATGAATGAATGAATGGAAGTGTGTGTGACTTTCACATAACTTTCACCCTCCGTGAAAGATATTAGGAGGGTGAGTACCCAGGGGAGGCCCTTCTCTGTGGTGATGCCCCACTTATGGAATGCGCTCCCCAGAGAGGTCCGCCTGGCGCCGTCATTATATGTTTTTTGGCGCCAGGCTAAGACCTTTTTATTTCAACTTTATTTTAACTGTTAATTGTATTTATTGATTTTATATTTGTGCCGAGATGTCTCCAGATTTTTTAGGTAATTATATGTTTGTTTGTTTTGTAAGCTGCCCCGAGGCTTTTTGCAAATGGGGCGGCATAAAAATGTTCTAAATAAATAAATAAATAATGTAGGAAAGCCAGAAAATCCCTGGTTCTCCCATCCCTTTGCTTTGCTTTATTGTAAGACTGTCCTGAGACCATTTTGTAGAGGTTGATATGGAAACGTTCTAAATAAATAAATCCCTAAAGCAGTCGGAGACTGGGAGCCAGATTCAGAAGAGAGCTGCTGGCTGGGCTGCAGAAGCAGCAAAGCGAGGGAGTCGGATGCTGAATGCTGAACTTGTTTCTTGGCGTCACGTGGCCCGGCCTGCTTCCTTTAGCCTACGAGGTCAGACTGCGGCAGCACCCTGGAGAGGAAGGGGCATGAATGTTATCCAGTCACTTTCATCAGTTTGAAGCAGACTCTGCAAGGATTCAGACAGATCCAAGGAAGGACTTCTTCACGCAGCAGTACGGAACTCGCCACCATGGGAAGCGGTGATGGCCACTAATCTGGATGGTTTTAAAAAGGGACTGGACAGATTCGTGAGGGAGGAGGCAATCAGTGGCTACTAGCCTTGCTGGCCATGTGCTCCCTCCTCCACCAGAGGCAGCCTGCCTGCACACAGCAGATGCTGAGGAGCTGGGCAGGAGAAGGTCTTGCCCCCATCCTGCTGGAGGGAGCCGGTGGGCAGCTGGTTTCCTCTGGAATGCCACCCCCTGTGCCTGGGAGCCCCAGGCCCTGACTTGCTAGTCCTGGATAGTCCAAGTGGGCATTTGCAGCAGCAGCGTCAAATCCAAATGGTGGAAGGCACTCCAGATACCAGGATGCAACTTGAAATTGTTTCCATGGAATGGGCTTGTTGATTTTGTCCTCTCTATCCAGCAGCACCCAATGCAATACAAGAGAGGCCTTGTTTCCCTTTGGCCAAATCAGGGAAGCTTTGGAAAGCAGTCAAAAGGCAGAAGTTTTGTCCAGGATAAATCTCACATTTACCAACAAATAATAATCTCTAGAAAGTCCAATGCTCTTTTAAGGTATTAAATTTGAAGGGGAAATAGTGATTGCTAAGTCTATAAATCAGAACCTCAGACCTTCAGGGCTTGCTTTGTGTTGGCTCCCCACCTCTAGAAAACCTGCCCACTGCAGCCCCCCTGGAGTCAAACTTGTCATTTTCCAGTGTTAGGTTAGGGTATGTTTCTTTGATTTATGACATTTTATGGCATTTTGTCTTGTTTTTATGGATTGTTGTAGACTGGCCAGGGATCTTTGAGTATGGAGCAGTATAGAAATGAAATAAATAATAATAAATAGAAGGTCAAATTCCTTTTCCTGGCCTTCTCTTTTCCCCAAGCCCTGGTCATTTTGTGGTTTTCTGGCTTTGGTGCTGTTTTTCCCCACTGTAATAAGTTGAAACTCCTCTCCTAATGCTTAGTTACCTGCAACGAGCATTTGATCTAAATTCTGCTAAGTTTTGTTTTGTTCCAGATTTACCCTTTTTGCCTTTCACCTCATCCACCAATAAGAACCTAAGAAGACTCATGAGTCCATCCAGTCCCGGGCCCCGTGGGGAACTTCTCCAAACTGGAATTCCACCCTCTGGGGCACAGGCAGGATTCTGCCCTCCAGACCCCATCCATGCTAAGTATGCCATTTCCCCTCTGTCTCCTTCTTTTTCCCCCCAAATCTTCATGCCTGAGACACCATCCTGTCAAACCTTCCTGGCACTTCACATTCAAGAAAGGCAAGAAAACAATGGTACAAAGCCACAGTTACTCAGAAATCCTTTATTTCAAGTCTGTTCGTGAAGCTTCAACAATTGCTTCTCTGAATTGAGAAAAGTTTGGCCCCATGTCACAGGAACACGTCTGCGGCAGCCCATACCCAATTTTCCATCTCCCTCCCTCCTTTTCTTCCAATGTTTCTCCTTTCCATCTTGCTTACACAGCCTGAACAATTTTAAAACCTAACCTGATTTCACATCCTCTGGGAAAAGACCGAACTGGCACGGATCAGGCTGAGCTTGGATTAGAAGTGTAGGGCCCCAAGAGAGCTCCACCAAAGAGGCTCAAACCATAAATGGTAGTGTAACACCCTTTTCCCCATGTGCTAACAGTGAGGTTAGGTCATGTGGACACATAAATCCCTTTCCCCCCAGATCTGCTAATCAAGTATGGCTTGGCTCTAGGGCTGGAGTTGCATCCTCCTAGCTACACAGACTCCAACAGATCAATTCCCCCTTCAGTTTCCAGTGCATCTGAAATACAACAATCTGCATTATGCACCTAGAAAATGGAAATTCTGCAACTGGAATGTTTATGCAAAATAACCCTGATGCTTTGACAACAAATGGAAAGGACAGGGCATAAGAGAATAGATGCAGAACGTTGCAGATGAGGCCTTTTAATCGATTCATCGCATGTATCTAGTTGGTTATGGTTTCGTTTTGTTTTTGCCACACAAGTTCTTTGTGGGCCATTTCTCCATGAAGAAGAAATCTGTGCAGCTAAGAACCTATGAAGAGATATGCTAGATCAGACCAAGACTGTCTAGTCCAGCACTCTTTTCCAATAGTAGCTCACCATGTGCCTGTGGGAAACTCGCAGGTAGAACATGAACGCAGTCATGCTCATGACCCTTCCAACTGGCAGTCAAAGCTGCAACCTGAAAATTCAGAGTAGCTGGCCACGTCCAAAAGCTTCCAAACCTTGAAACTACTCTTTGCATGACTCCCAAAGCTTAAGATTGTTCCAGAATGTCTGGTAAAATGTATTGCCAAGACCATTTTCAATCCTCCAAGTCTTTCTACGGAAGCAATGCACCAAAGACTTTTTCTGGACTTTTCTGGACTTTTTCATTAAATGGAATGAAGAGAGACTGCTTCTTACTACTTTTCCTGCAAACCAACAGAGTGGTCAACCCCTGTAGGGAGAAGCAAGACTCTTCCTTTATTGGTACAGCAAAGGAAAGTGCCTCGTAAAGTTGAAGAACTCCACCTGACAAGGTCAGCCACAGGAACCCTGTACATTTGTGGAGCTCTGGGCTGGAGTCATTGGGGTGGGTGCTCAAGGATAGGCTGGACATGCACATGATAGGCATGTCACGAGCAGAGCCAACTGGAGCTGGGAGTAAGACTAGATGGCCTAGGAGGCCCCTTCTGACTCGCTCGGTTTCTCTGTTTCTACCTCATCTCTCCGATGGAGCTTCTCTTCCCTTTGTCTCAGAACTAGACTCAGCTGATAGACATGGTCTCAAGAGTCACACCAACTCTTCTAGGCTGCCCATTTCAGACTGCCTCCAAGGGAAGGGCTCTAGTCCCTGACTTTCTGCAATGTAGCTTCAAAATGAGAAAAACTGGGAGAAGAGCTCTGGATTTGTCTTTTGGCGGATGTGCTCACCTTATAGGTCCAGGAAACACCGACACATGTGTCCCCCTCCCCACTGCAGTCTGATATGGTGCAGCCCAGCAGTAGCTGTACCATGTGATTCTTCTGATCATTTGTGTCAGTTGGTAGAGGCACTGGTCAAGGTGCACAGTCCAGCAGTGCGGACGACCCACCGTTCCTGCAGTCCGCTCCGCTCTTTGAGAAGCAGAACTCCATGGATCAGAAACTTGCTCTCAGGGTTTTTGATGTTCCATTTCCACCAAGACATTCCCGCAACACAAGCCCATCCTCTTACCCTTCATCAGTCCTTACCTGTTGCTTGGAAAGCACGCAAGCAAAACCCTGTACTAGGTTCTGCGGAGCGACAGCTCAGGTCCAAGCCAGCGCTTCGCTTCTCAGCTGACTTACCAGGGACCACGTGTGCGTGTCAGAGCCTGCGCTTGCTCTCGCTTTAAGGGAACACGGCTGTGCTCCTAGGAGTATATATGACAACAGCTGCCGTCATGCTATGAATAAACTGTAGTTCACCAGCCCCTCCCCTCCCACCCAGCCCCAAAGAGATATAGAAGATGAAAATGGCTTAAGCAGGTGATGCAACCTTGGAAGGCATCATGCGCCGACATCATGGTCAATTATTCTTGGTGGATGTCTCCAGCATTAAGCTTTGCCCCTTCCAGGTGGAGAGAAATCTGCTGAATGAGATGCATCTGATTCCTTTTCAGAGTCGTCTTGTTCCTAGATCATTCCTGCCAGCCAGGGTGGGAGGAAAAGCCCTACAGTTCCCAATAAGCAGACTATGATGAACATCCAGAGGAAAATTCTGTCGATCACCATTGCAACGTACTTCCAGTCCTCCTTCACCTGTGATGTGAGAGAGTGGGGAAAAATGCTTACCAACATACAGCGACTAGACAGAGCTGCTGATATAGTCAACCATTTGCAGATTCAAGGAGCTCCCTTCAGCATCTCTTCCTCAGGTTCTACAGGGTGGCTTACCTTGTAGCATAGCAGGGGGTTGGTTGTTCCTTGTTTCTACTGTAAGCTCTAAGCGACAGACTCCTAGTGCTCACCATTCTGTTTTCCCCACAATGCCTTGGAAATTTTTTCTGGAGCAGGCATTGTGGGAGAAACAAAATGGCAGCTAGCACGAAAGCAAGGTGGTCTCCAATGTGGAAAGCCATATTGTTGTGGTTATGGCCATTTTGTTTTTCCCATAATGCCTTGGACCAAAGAGATGTCTAAAGCATCATGGGAAAGACAAAATAGCTTCAGCCACCTAGGGTTTAATCCTGTGTGTCTGGTGAGGGGGCAAGGATGCCTCAGCATGAGGGCCCCACCAGGGGACAGGAGCCTCATCAGCTGAACACTTGAAGGTCCATGTGGTTTAGTGGTTCAGAGCACAGGACTGGGACTCGGGTGATCTGGGTTCTAGTCCCTGCTCGGCTGTGGAGCCAACCTGGTGATTTGGGCCAGTCACAGACACTCAGTTCACCCTACCTTGCATAAGATTGAAAGCACCAGGAGGAGAATGATCTAAGTAAGCCACTTTGAAGGCTTTGGAAGTAAAAGGTGGGCTATAAATCGAACATACAAACAATCACGGATGCAACATACATAGGTTTGGAAGTAGCTTTAGGCTCAGTTGGGTTATTGGATCTGCAGAGAAAGTCCTGATGTGGTACTTTCCAAGAAGAGAGCTGTGTACAAGTATCAGTCATGTACACTTTTGACAACAATTGTACTCAAGCTCCTTCATGTTTGTTGACTGGCTTTAAAAAAATGTTTAATTTCATATGCCAAGAGAACTATGTCACATCAAGATGGTGAGAAGCTCCAACTGAAGCATGTTGTGATTCTGTTAACAGCTCTTAGAATTATTTATGTTGCATAAGTTATCTGGCAAATTCCCTCCTTTGCTTAGCGGGCAGATCATTTGCAAGACAAGAGCTGGTTTTTATGATGTGCTGTCAAGTTCCAAGCATTCAGTGAAGATGAATTTTAGAAAGATCATGTAATCTGTTCTGTTCTGTTCTTCCATCTGCAGTATTAAGAGATCCTTGTCATTCAGGAGCACAATTCAAAGGGCTTGCTTTGACTTTGTTAAGCTCGAAAGGGTTGGGGGCTTCCCTGTCACTCTGAGGGCCATTTCCTCTGAGGGGTAAACTGGCGGTGACCTTGTGTCAGTGGTTAAGATCAAAGCCCAAAATAGGGAAAGTCACTGTCTTTGTCTTTTCCTGCCACTTCTCCTTCCACTGTGCTGAAAAATTCACCCTCTTTTCTCCTTAGCTCCTTCTTTCCCTGTGCCACTCCCTCCCTCCTTCTACCTGCTCCTTCTTCATCTCTTTCCCTTTGCACACCTTTCTTCCTTTCTCTGTTTGTACCAGCCTTTCTTCTCTCCTGCCATCATCTCTCTGCCATCCTATCTTCTTCACAGCTCCCTCTCTCTGTGCACCTCCTGTCTTCTCACTCATCTACCAACCCCTCCTACCTCTCTCTGCCTCATCTTCTGCCATTCTCACCTTCCCCTCTCCTTCTTCACCAGACCTGTTGGGCTGCTGGGGAGTGAATTACTGCTCTTGCCAGAAGTCTCACCTGAACTCACCAGAGGGATTCTGAAATTGGGAGGAGGCCAAGTTAAATTAGGCTGTAGACCACATGTAGAACTAAGGTCACTAGTTGCTCAGCCCTGTAATGGGCAATCTGAGGACCTCAAGCTTAGCCTTCTCCTCCTCCTCCCCCTTCAGAGGGCCTTCTCCAGGACCGTTCGGGTGGTAAGGCAGTTGACTAAGAGAAGGCCTCCTCAGGAGTTGCCCCATCCCCTCTATGGAATTTCCTCCAAACAGAGAGCAGGTTGCCTCTTGCTTGACCATTTTTAGAGAGCGGAAGAAGGCTGTTCTGCTGACCCGAGCTTCCAGCTGATGGTCAGTCATAATGGAGTTCGATGGTGCGGAGCATTACATTGGCTGTGGTCTATGACAACCACTTGTCCAGATGTTGCTAAACAGCCGCACTCATCAGTCCTAGCCAGCAGAGCCCATGGTGAGAACTGCAGTCCAGCAACCTCTGGAGGGCTGCCCATTCTCCATCTGGGTCTGTAGTCTGCCGGCATTGTGCTGATTTGCTTTTACCAGCTACTTTGAGCAATGGTTTTCTTTAATCCACTGCTATTGTGTGAATGCAGAAATATTCTTGTTTTAATGCTTTCTGTCAGCACTGAATAGAGCTACTTTTAGCTTGCATGTTATGATGCAGTGTGATCAAGAGGATAGGTGTGTACATTTGGAGCATCAAAAGTCGAGCTCTGACCTCCCTGAGCTCTTCCCGCGGCTGCCACCTGGAGGAGAGCACTGGCCTGCCCCCCACGGTGACCCTACAGGCCGGGAAGCATGGAAGTTGCCAGAACGGTGCTGGGTACCAAAAAGATCTGAGGCTCAGGCCCAGAGAACCGCACGCACGCACACACGCACACGCACACGTGCTCACACAGAGGCACAGACTTCCGGCTCCCATATTCTAATCACTTAGACTTTAAAGCCACATGGAGTCACATGTCAGAAGGGGATCATAATTTAACTTGAGAACGGTGAGGCAGAGAACAAAAATAACGAAGTAAAGCAAGATTTAAAAAAAAACCCCTACAGTGCTGAGAGTCATCCCTCTCTTCTTGCCCTATAACTTTAAAGAGGTCTGCCCATATTTTTGGCAGAATTTGGTTTTACTTCTTTACATCTATGCTTATTTAACTTCATCACTGTCTCTGTAATTCCTCTGGAGTCTAATTAAGCTCATATGAAGCCTACCAGAATTGATCTCTGGAGAACACTTAAAATCCCTATGTTCTTTTGGGGTGGAGAAATCAGACCAGAGGGGAAGAGAAAGAAGACATTTGGGAGAACAGCTTAAAATGTAAATGCATTTGGTAGATTGGAACTCGGCCCTTCTTGGTTCATTAGAATGAGGCTGGTGGGAAAAGCTGGTCTGAGACAATGAGCAATAACATGAAGTTCGACTCCGCGCACGCTCTGAAGCTGCTGCAGAGCAGACTTCTGCATCTCATTTTCACATTGCTTTTTTGCTCCCTGTGCTTCTTCACAGAAGCAGCGTTGCTTGAAATCCAGCATTTAGACAGATATCCAAAACGCCCCCAAAATGACAGATGAAAAGTCTTCATGGGCTATTTCAAAGCACTAACACGAGATGCATGGAGGTGTCTTCTAAATCTCAGCAGTTTCGAAATCATCTTCAGCATCACCATCATCACGTCCTGTCTGTCCCACCTCTTTCCTCTTGGGAGGAACTCAAGCCAGCCTGAAGGATCTTCTTCCTTCCAGCTTATCCTCACAACGTATCTGTGAGGCAACGGAGGATGAGAGTCCACGTCTGGCCCAAAGTTGCCACGAGAGCGCTGTGGTCGTGTGGGGACTAGAACCTGCACCTCTCATGTCCCAGTCCAGTACTCTAACCACTGCACCACACTGGCCTTCCTAATGCAAGCAAAGTTTTGTACGGGGTTGCATTTCTCCCCTACCGTTCTCCCATGCTGAAACTCATGTGGTTCTTAGGTGGTCTCCCCTCCAAGCACTGATCAGAGGGGGCCCTGCTTAGCTTCAGCAAACCATGCTATGCCCTGGGACATAGAACACACATTAGACTAAAAACCACGTGCACTTCACAAGTAATTTTCCCCAAAGCTGAAACCAAAGCAAAGCAAAACTGGCAGTAAGCCGCTCGGTGCTACAGAGCACGGAGATCCTCAAAGCGTGATGTCCACCTAAGACCATTCCTCCCACCTGGGCAACCTGACCTGGTCAGCCTGGACACGTTTCCAGGCCTAGCATGAGATTTGGCTTCATTTGCTTGGGTAATGATGAGCTGGAAGAACAGAGGAGGGGCACTAAAATTTCTCTACTCAGCCTAACGCACTTTGATTGCGACATTCATCATGACCACAAGTACAACAAAGAAATTCGGCATTTTTTGTGTGCTGGGTAGCACAGTGATTGATTGGAGTACTCAGAAAATACAGTGGTTTGTTTGGTTTCATCACTGTTCCTGGTGAATATAGCAGCTGATGATATATCTCTGGTTGCACTTTAAATGTGCTCTCATCCTTCATTCCCCTCTCCTTTCTTTGTTCCTTGCCTTCTTTTCCTCTGCCTGCTGGATTCCCTTCAAGACCCTGGTCTCAGGAGACCTGTGCATCCCTTAACCTGCTGGTTCTCTCGCATTGCACTGCTAGGCATCCCTACTCAAAAGTAAGTCCCAGGTAACTGTGTACAACAGGGAGTAGGAACTAGTTGGGCCTCAGATGTTGCTGGACTACACCTCCCATCAGTCTTAGCCAGGTTGGTCAATAGTGATGGATGATGCAATACTCTGAAAGGTCACAGCTTTTCTACTCCTGTGGTATAGGATTGCAACCTAAGTAGTCCAAGGGCCGACTTTATGACACACGGTTCTAGTTGGACATTTTTAGAACAGCAGTGAGGAGGCAGGATTTTAATAATTCCAATGGACTTTATGATTTCAGCATCGTTATTCATCCCTGCCTTCAGTGGGCATCCCTCGCATGTAAAGGTACAAAGGTGAGCAGAACTTGAAGAAGTTTCCATTAAGTTCCTCACTTTCAAAAAAGTTTGTTTCTAGTAAAAGTACAGCCTGTCTATTGAAGAAAAATCAGACAGGCCATTTAAAGCAGGAGATAGGAACAGTTCAATGGTGAACTTTTTTGTTTTAGCTCCAACCCCAAATAGTAAAGAGTTAAAGGTACCGCATCACTATAGTCCCACCTGCATTTGCTTTAGACTGGGCACATCTGGATGCTCCAACCTTTGATGTGATACAGCCATAGACCCAGGAAT